TGTCGAGAAGTCTGATGTTAGCCTGATGGGTTTTCCTTTATAGGTGACCTTTTTCTCTCTAGCTGCCTTTATAACTCTTTCTTTTTGCTTGATCCTTGCCATTTTAATTATTATGTGTCTGGGTGTTGTCCTCCTTGGATCCTTTCTTTTGGGGGTTGTGTGTATTTCCGTGGTCTTTTAGATTATTTCCTCCCCCAGTTTGGGGAAGTTTTCAGGAATTATTTTTTCAGAGAGTCTTTCTATCCCTTTTCCTCTTTCTTCTTCTTCTGGTACCCCTATAATATGAATATTATTCCTTTTGGATTGGTCACATAATTCTCTTAGGGTTGTTTCGTTCCTGGAGATCCTTTTATCTCTCTCTATGTCAGCTTCTATACATTCCCGTTCTCTGGTTTCTATTCCTTCGATGGCCTCTTGCATCTTATCCATTCTGCTTATAAATCCTTCCAGGGTTTGTTTCACTTCTGTGATCTCCTTCCTGACATCTGTGATCTTCCTCCGGACTTCATCCCATTGCTCTTGCATTTTTCTCTGCATCTCATCCCATTACTCTTGCATTTTTCTCTGCATCTCTGTCAGCATGTTTATGATTTTTATTTTGAATTTTTTTTCAGGAAGACTGGTTATGTCTGTCTCCTTCTCAGGTATTGTCTCTGTGATCTTTGTTTGCCTGAAATTTTGCCTTTTCATGGTGATAGAGATAGTTTGCAGAGCTGGTATGAGTGACAGCTGGGAGAGCTTTCCTTCTTGTTGGTTTGTGGCCTTCCTCTTCTGGGAGAGTAGCTACCTCTAGTGGCTTATAATTGGCAGCTGTGCACAGACAGGTCTTCAGCTACCTTCCCAGTTGGTTTTGAGTTTATCTCCACTGTTGCTGTGGGTGTGGCCTGGCTGGGGCTGCTCCTCCAAAGTGGTGGAGCCCTGTTGGAGGGGGAGCGGGCCCGTGTCTATTTATCTCCGTAAGGGACCTCTGTGCTCCCTGTTGCCCAGGGGGTTAAAGTGCCCAGAGATCCACAGATTCCTTGCCTCTGCGCTAAGTGTCCTGTCCTGCCCCTTTAAGACTTAAGCACTCTCCAAACCAAAACAACAACAGCAACAATGAAAGAGAAAAAAAAAAAGGGAAAAATGCATGATTTTCTTTGTCATCAGGCCCTGGTCTCAGGCACCCGCTCCCTGGTCTTGCTGCCCTGTTTCCCTAGTATTGGGGTCCCTGTCCCTTTAAGGCTTCCAAAAAGCACTCGCCAAAAAAAGGGAAAAACGCGCGATATTCTTTGTCCTCAGGCGCCAGTCTTGTTAATCTGCTCATTGTTCTTGCTGCTCTGTTTCCCTAGTATTGAGGTCCCTGTCCCTTTAAGGCTTCCAAAAAGCACTCGCTAAAAAAAAAAAAACGCTCCCGTTTCTTTGTTCTCCGGTGTCAGCCTCTGGCACCCGCTCACCGGTCCTGCTGCCCTGTTTCCCTAGTATCCAGGACCCCACGCATGCACTCTGTCTGTGCTCTGGTCCGGAATCCTGGGACTGGGTGTTCAGCAGTCCTGGGCCTTCTCTCCCTCCCTGCTGACTCCTCTCCACCCGCCAGGGGCTGGGGGGAGGGGTGCTCAGGTCCCGCTGGGCCAGGGCTTGTATCTTAACCACTTCGTGAGGCGCTGGGTACTTGCAGGTGTGGATGTGGTCTGGATGTTGTCCTGTGTCCTCTGGTCTCTATTTTAGGAAGAGTTGTGTTTGTTATATTTTCATAGATATATGTGGTTTTGGGAGGAGATTTCTGCTGCTCTACTTATGCTGCCATCCTGGCTCCAAATCTCTCCTAATTATTTTTAAACAAATAATTCATTTCTGTAAATGAAGCTCTTGTATATTTAGTTTAAGCCACATCATCTTTTCCCCCTGAAATCCATTTCAGTTTATTCAGATAGGAAGCAAATTGATAATTCTAAATTGCAAATCTTGTTATGCTAGTCTTGATTTTATTTTGAAATATATTGGAAGCTGTTAAAATCCAATTTTCTTATTGTAGACTACGTGACTTGGTTTTTTACTCTCTCTTTATTCTGTTCTTGGGCCTTAATCAGTGGCAGGTCTTCTAGTTCTTGGAAACTCTTGCCTGCCACAGGCCTTTGTATTTGCTGTTCCCTCGCCCTAAAATGCTTTTCTTCTACTTTCAAAATTAGTTGGAATGTCACCAATTCAGATAAGCCCTTCTATAAAAGCCATCACTCTACATAACCACCATTATTCTCTATCATAATCCCCTTTTCATTTATTTCCCTCTTGTCTCTTATAAATAGTGATAATTATTTATTTTACTTATTTATATTTCATTCATTTGCTTACTATTTGTTTACTAATTATCTGTCTATATTTCTAAAATGGAAGTTCAATGAGACAGAAACTTAGTCTTTCTTATTCACTATATTCTCAGCAGTTAGTACATAGTAGATATTCTCTAAATACTTGTTTGATAAAGAAGTGAATAATTTATTGAAGTGACACAGAAGCTACATATTCTGAGATTGGGCTTTCAGTGTCACATGTACAGTCTTGTTCTGACATACGTCAAGGTACAGATGGAGGCCAGGCTTAGGGCTGTTGTGGTTCTGTGACGTTTCAGTCCGTGGCCACATTCATGTGTGTGCTGGTCAGTCTGTCACTGAAGATATGGCATGGTTGTGTGAGTGTGTGTCTGAGTGTTGTTGGCTTGGGAAATAAGGAGTTTGGTTGGCTGCCTGACTATTGGCTTGAGATGCTCCTATAAATATGTTACTTTTCAACTTGATGATTGTGAGAGTGGAGAGAGGCATTCAGCAAGTAGTGAAGAGGGATGAAGGCTGTGTATTTTTTTCCTGAGGAATAAATCAGGTAAGTTACAATTCTTAATGTAAGTATGTCTTCTTAGTTAATAATTTTATTTCATATTTTGGACACTGAGGTACATAAGTAAATCTCTTTGACACCTTTTTTCTGGTAAAATGATCCTTTCTATTCTATAATACTTAAAGTGTGTTTATCTTTCCAAGATGTCAGCATACATTCAGCTAGACTCTTTCCTTCTAGATCAGTGCCATTTTCTCTTCCTCTTTGATAGAATGGCTAAAGAATTGGTTAGAGGAGGAAAGGGTCACTTGTAATCAGAATTTTCTTATCAGTTTCTCCTGTGATAATAAGAAAAAGCTTAAGATCTTGTAATGGTATTTACTGCATTGGAATATTCATGTCCTTTAGGAACAAGAGGAAAGTTATTTTATTAAGAACAAATAGCCTAATTACTTGCATCTGTTCAAAAATGACACAGCTTAGTAACAAAATTGTAACCAAACTGAATAAGCATAATGTTCCAGATGCTTTCTGTGGAGATGTTTTTTATTGCAGAAAACCCACAGTTGACTCATCAGTGAATATAAATGAGCAATGTGTTGTGAGTTTACAATCACATACTTGTACTTTTAGTTGTGGAGGCTATGGGGCACCTCCTCCAGGTAAGTACATAAAACCACTGCTTTCCAGAATCCTAGGAAATGTGTCATTCTGGATAATCACATATTTAAGCAAGTGGAGGGCTGGAAATGGCAGCATTATCTTTCTTTTGATTAAAATCTTTCTAAACTGAATTTTAGATTTCCCTATCTTACTAAGCATGATTAATTAACTCACTGAGATCCACATTGGGCTATTCTTGTTTGTGGGAATATTTATGCTTTTGTTAAATAGCTCCACAGTACTGAACTTTCTCAAAGTTTATGGTTTGTGCCTTTGTGTCAGATTCCTGGCAAACACTGGTCTTTTGTTGGTGTTTCTACTTTTGTGAGACATCCCTTCATTAAAATACAATGCTCTTGTAACATATTAGATTTGGAAGTCACATGTCTGTGCTTGCTAAAATTATGCACAAATTGAGTCAGTAGATTCCTAGGAAGAACTACTTGATTTCTCCAGTCAATAGTATATGTAAGCTTTCATGTCTAGCTACTGTCACATCTATTTGGTTTTATAGAGCCTTAACTTTTTTTTCTATGCTGACCTCCTGAGGAGAGGAAATACAATCAAGTGCCACATCAGCAAAACAGCAGTGACTCTTCAGTATTGGCTGTTGGCCACAAGAAATACTTTGGCATGACATTTTTTTATATTACTTAAAAGAGGAAGCATATATGGTGAAATGAATGATTATCTTATTTTTATTTGATGGGTTTTGTTCTCTCTAGTGGTGTTAGGTTTAATACTATATCTTAAGTGAAATTTCAGCAATAATCTTATTCCCACTTTTACCTTGAAACAGCAAACATACCCATTTCTCAGATTGCTGCATCTTCATCCTACCCTCCTCACACAGTAGGTAAATGCATGGTCAGTGGAGTAGTGGGATCTGGGCACAGCCAGAACAATGTTCACATAGAGCCCTGCATTGTCGTATGTTATAGCTGCTAACCTATTACTAAGAATTAAACTGTATAGGCTTTGGTTAAGGAAGAAATGTCCATTCATTACACATGGAGTCCTGGGATCTCTTTGATAGATTAAAATATGGCAAGATCAACATACCTTAGATTTCAAACCTAAGTTCCCAAGTTGGCTAGATTTCTCAACAACAACAATAAATCTAGAAAGAATAGGCTTCATCTCTTATTACCAGTCTAAAATTTGACTACTTCCGAAGTAGCTATGTACATTGCTTCCTAAGAGAGATGTTTGGGGGAAGGATTAGTGCATTTCTAAGTTTCATAAAAAAAGGAGAAATTTATAACACTAACAAGTTGAGATTTTGGTTTCAGATATGTGATACACTTCATATGATTTCAATGTTTCTGATTTTCAGGTCATCACTTACTCTTTCCCTGTCTTGGTTTATCAGATGTAAGGTGGGGCAACCAAACCTGTCAGAATATAATCTTCTAATGACAGAGAACTGGAGATGATTTTGAAAACAGTAATATAACCGGTTAAGAGCTATTGTGAGTAATTATAATTTCTTTATTTTTCATAGCCATATTATGAAAAAAAATGAAGAAATGGAACCTGCAAATTACACCAGGGTGACAGAATTCGTTCTTATTGGCCTGTCCCAGACTAGGGAGGTGCAACTAGTCCTGTTTGTTACATTTCTATCCTTCTATTTGTTCATTCTTCCAGGAAATATTCTTATTATTTGCACCATCAGGTTTGACCCCCATCTGATCTCACCCATGTATTTCCTTTTGGCTAATCTGGCCTTCCTTGACATTTGGTGCTCCTCCATCACAGTCCCTAAAATGCTTATAGACTTCTCAGTGGAAAGAAAGGTAATTTCCTTTGGTGGATGCATTGCACAGCTATTCTTCTTGCACTTTGTTGGGGCCTCTGAGATGTTCGTGCTCACAGTAATGGCCTTTGACCGCTATACTGCTATCTGCAGCCCCCTCCTCTATGCCACCATCATGAATCGACATCTCTGCTGCATCCTGGTGGCTCTCTCTTGGATGGGAGGCTACGTTCATTCTATAATACAAGTAGCTCTCATTGTTCGACTTCCCTTCTGTGGGTCCAATGATTTAGACAGTTACTTTTGTGACATCACACAGGTTGTCTGTATTGTCTGTGCCACCTTCCCAGAGGAATTAGTGATGATCTTTAGCAGTGGTCTGATCTCTGTGGTGTGTTTCATTGCTCTCCTAATGTCGTATGCCTTTCTTCTGGCCATGCTCAAGAAACAGCCTCAGCTGAGAGTACCAGCTGGGCCATGTCCACGTGCTATTCCCACATCACCATTGTGGTGTTAATGTTTGGGCCGTCCATCTACAGTTATGCTCACTCATTTGACTCTTTTTCCCTAGATAAAGTGGTGTCTGTGTTCCATCCTGTGATATTCTCTTTACTTAATCCCATCATCTACACATTGTGAAACAAGGAAGTAAAGACAGCCATGAGGAAGTTGGTCAACAGATATGTTCTATGTAAAGAGAAGTGAAAGTTAAATGGCATATTTTGTAGTACTCCAAGGGTCATTGTTCTAAAGTAGGCAGCATTTCACTACCTCCTTTTGTCTGAGTTCTTAAAATCCCAGTAGGTTTTTTTCTCTATTGGTGAAAAAACAAAGAAATTCTGATGGCAATAAATTTACTCACACCCTCCCTGAAACTTCTGGTAAATCACTATTGAAATATAAAATATAATAATGGTCTGCTAAAACACACATTTTCACTGGTTGTTTATTGGATGAATATTTTGGAGAGGCTTTGGCTGTGAGAATGTGTGTTAAGGAATAATATAAATAAGACCTGGGAGACATGTCCACTATGGATATGAAGAAACTAGTAGCTAGCATATGAATGTGAGTAGCTTCAAGTAACCAAATTAAATATTGTCATGTTTCAAACTTAGCCCAGTAGGATGGTGTTTGGTAAACCATCTTCCTGGGACTGGAAAAATAGATTATTTTGTCTATCTCTTCCTCTTCCCAGAGTTATGATTAGAAACTGAGGATTATTTATATAAGCTATTCCAACTCATATTTCAGGTTGTAGCTCCTCAACAGTATTGGCAACAGTATTGGTGATAGAACTCAAGATTTCATCACATCTTGGAAACAATTTTTATGAATTCATTGCGGAGTATAATTTACTGCATGAGGCCCCTCTCTTTTCAAAGGAAGTCTCTAGCTAATGAGTGGTTTTTATAGCCAGTCTCTATTTACATCCTCTAGTGTGAAAGCAGACTCAGAGGCAAAGGAGTCTAGGTTGAGCAGGGTTGGCAGACATCCAGCTGGGTGATTTTAAAAAGATTATTATATTTTTTTGTCATATTTGTGTTTTCTGTATTTGTTAATTATGTCTCTCATGTTAAAATGAATTAATAGAGTGTTGCTTTTCTTAGCACTATCATTGAGAGTTCTTCCCTGTTTAACTATTTTTTTAGTACATATGGAAGAGACCTATTGAATTTCCATAATCCTCTAGTGAGTTATTTACTAGAGATCAATTTACTATTTCCTGACACAGAGAACCCAATTACTGACCATGCTTCAGAGCATAAAACACAGATTAGAATATTTGAGTTCATGCAAATTTATCTACTTAGATTAATTTTTTAGTTTCAGAACCAGGGGGTCTATTCATCAAAGGGTGAGAACACTTTGTGTGCTTTGAGGTTTAATCTTAAATTAGATAATGTGACTAGATTTTGAGGGAAATAGATTTCTGTCATCGTCAGGAATGAATACATATCAAGAATGATGAAAACAATCCCAGGGTTACTCTTTGTCTATATTCTATTTATTAACTGAGGAGGCAATTTGTGCCAGACCCAGGGCACCTCAGGTACACTGGATGGAATGATGCTGCACAAAATTTGTTCTTTGTTTTGGGAATTTTTCTGTATGATGACCCTCTCTCATCTTCAAAGTTATAGTGACTTCTCTTCTAAGAAACCAAAGACACAGATTGAAATTATCATTCATGAATTTTGAGTTAACTTCTCATTGCCTGAAAATTAATAAAACCGTAGACTTATCTAATATTTTACAAGAGAGTATGGAAAAACCATCTAACATACAAAGGATATATACATACATAATAAAAAAATGATTGACCCCCCTATACAGAATTTTATTGTTGTAAACAACCATTTGATCAATAAATGAGAGATGCCCTCTCAGAAAAAAAAATGATTGAGTTATATTTCTAGATTTTGTGTTATTTTATTGTTATTTCTCTGTATTTGAACCAGCTAGACTTCTATTCATTTTGTCCCTTCTAATTCATTTAGCTAGGATTAAAGAGACTATTGACTTGATATGCTCTTCAAACACAAGTATATTGCTACTACAGAAAGATATTTGTTGAAAATATTGAAGCTAGGAATAAGAAGAAAAGACATCAAACATAGTAGTATAATGGAGAATTGCTTAATTAAAACACTACCTGGAATTAATTTTGATAGAGAAGTAGGAACTTTTGGCATACTAGAAAGCAGTGACCTAGTCTGACTCATGGAGGATATGATTGATATAAAGACTTATATCAGTAGTTCTCAAGAGGGGGCAACTTCAACCTCCAGGGGACATCTGGCAATGTCTGGTGACATTTTTGGTGATCCCAACTGAGGAGTGTGATTGGCATCTGATATATAGAAGCCATAGATGCTGCTAAAGATGCCTCAGCTACCCCTGACAAATTATCAGGCCCGAATATCACCAGGATGGAGCTTCTGAGCAGGGATCTAAAATCTTGCCTTAGATAATGAGCAGGGACAAAAGGCAGGTTAGTGTAGGATAAATAAGTATTGTCTTAAGTAATCTTTTCACGTGCAGTGCTGCCTCTTGGGGATAGAACTCAAGTTTTTTTTTCACATCCTGGAAACAACTTTTTATGATATCATAACAGAGTATAGAAAGATATTGCTGTTCTGATTTTATCCTTTTGCTGAAGATTCCTCAGTATTCCCTTAGTTGGAATAAATTTGTCCTCTGGTACAGTAATGGCATAGGGAATGCTCATTAAGTGCAAGAGTTTTTGTGTTAAAATACTTTTAAAACTGTCTTGAGACTTGATAGCTTCTTTTAATATAAAATTCTTGTATATTTCCTTTAAGTTCTTTGAAAATCTTGCTTCATTTGTTTTTTTCTTTAACTTTCTGTGTTGCTGTTGAGAGAAGTCTGATGTTAACTTCAAAGGAAAAACCATTTGTAGATAATTTTGTTTTTTTGTATGGAGGTCCATGGTCTATTTTCTTCATACTTAAACTCCTGTAGCTTAATATGGTATGTTTCACTGTTGATGAGTCTGGGCCAATTTTTCCTCAGTATTCATTCCAGAAAATACAATATTTAGAGTTTTCAGTATTTGTTTTTTTGTAACTATAAGATTAATTTCATCTGATAGAGAATGTCCAAAGAAGAAGAAGAAAGAAGACTTCTGCTACCTGGTTTCAAGGCTTATTATAAAGCTACAAAAATAGAGTGTGGTACTGATGTAAGGATAGACTGAACAGATCGATGCATCACTATAGTGTGTACAGAAACAGACTCATACAAATGGTAAATTGGCTTTTGTCAAAGGAGCCAATACAATTCACTGGGAAAGAAAAATTTTAAACAAATGATGCTATAGCAACTGAATACTCACATGGAAAATAATGGACTTCTACTTCACTGCACATACAAAATTAAATTGACTTGGATCATAGACCTAAATATAATACTTAGAAATACAAAACTTCTAAAAGAAAACATAGAAGAATATGCTTTCTTACATATTTGGGATAAGCAATGACTTCTTAAACAGCACAAAAGAAGCTGTAATTATAAAAAGTGATAAAACAAACCTCAAAAAAATTACTGCTCTTTGAAATACACCATTATGAAACTAATAAGCAAATAACTCACTGGGGGGGAAATTTGGAATCTCTTACCATCTCTCCAAAGTAAAACTTAGGCAAGTGTTTGAATAGATACTTCAGAAAAGAATATATACAAATGATTGGTTAGCTCATGGAAAGATGCGCAGCGTCACTAGTCCTATGGGAATGGTTCATGACACATGACCATGTGTTCAGGCAAAGCACTCTCCAGCTACTCTGTAGAACAGGCATAAATTTGCCTCAGCAAACCTCAGAAGGAAAAGAAAATGTGCATCATGGGCCCCCAGAAGCACATAACATTATGGATACTACACACTTTCATGAAAATACTGCAGCTGTGCCATGACGTGTCAGTGTTGTTGGGTCAATGGGTCAGAATTGTGAGCCTGATAAAGGAGTTGTTGGACTATGGGCTCTGGATGGACTCGTTTGCATATGAAAGGTACATTTGCAAGTGAGTCGTTGACTATCCCTAGGAATTGGCTAAGTCTCTCCAGAACTGGTCTAAGGTTCCAACACGTCAAGGTATCAGAAATACAGAAAATAAAAAGGCACAATGAACACAAACACGAAACATTGGTGAGCTGACAGAACAGCCTGAACATTGCTGTTGGGAATTTAAAATAGTTGAACCACTTTGGAAAACTGCACAGCAATTTCAGGGAGCCATAAACATACTTCCACCTTATAGCCAAGAGAGACGAAAACACATATCCAATAAATGACTTATATTAGAATCTTCATAGGAACTTTATTCATAGCCTAAGATATGAAACAACCCAACTGCCCATAAAAAAATTAAAATGATGATAAAACCTTTGTGTGGTATCATACAAAGGAACATTATCCAGTAATAAAAAGGAACAGCTGTAGATAATGCAACAACATGAACCTCAAAATCATAATGTTGAATTAAAAAGCCAGGTAAGATTGAACGGAAGTCACATGGCTCTCTTTTTATGAAATCTAAGGAGAAGCAAAACTAATGTACGGTAGAAGTTAGAAAGTGGCTGCTCACCGTGGTGGCGGTTGTAGGGAAGGTTGATGATCATAAAGCAGCTTTCAAAGTGATGGAAATACTGTACATATTGTTTGAAATAGTAGTTCCTTCCATGGATACATGACAGAAGTTATCAAGTCCAGCACATATCTGTGTATTGTAGTCTATATAAATAATATTTTAAGAAATGTAACAATTTATTTTCACACTTGCTTGTAAGCACATAATTTCTTGAAGGACATAATAGAAACTGATATTAACTTTCTGTTGTGAGGTATGGAAACATGGAGGATTGGGATGGGAGGGAAATTTTTCATTGTACAAATGATCTTTTAAATAAAATTTTTGAATATGACTATATTATTAAAACAACAAATATATTAAAAGCAGAATGTCTGATTTCCAACCCTAACCTTTTCCAGTTATCCCTGTATTTGTAAATACACAGCCATCTACACAGTTATGACATTCAGAGTCCCTGGAGTTATTCTTGCTTCTTCAGTTCTCGTATCCAGATCAGCAACACATCTCCTTGACTATTTCTTCAGAATACATCTTTGATATAAATTCTTTCCCCCCTCTCCTGAACTATTTCCTACCTAACCTACCATCATCTCATTATAGTACTTCAAACACTCCCTAACTGGTCTCCTGGCTTCCCTTCTGCCTTCTATAACCCATTCTTTACTAGTAACCAGAATAATCTTTTTAAAATGTCAATCAGATAATGGCACGTAGCTTCTCAAATAGAATGATGACCAGATGCCATTTGGTCTGTATCTGGCCTTCCCCTCTGTCTAGCCTTCTACTCTTTTCCCCACCTGCCCACTACTATCATGCCTTCTTTGCCTTTCTGCTTCTTTCTCCTCCTTTCTGCTTCTCAGTGCACCATCCTCTTCCTGCTTCATGGCCTTTCACCAGCTCTTTCTTCAGATCTTCACACAGTGGGCGTATTCTAGGCATTCAGATGAGCTGAAATGCCATCTCCTCAGAAAGGCTGTCCCTGGCCAGTGCACCTGGAACAGTAGTCTCTTCCCAGCATATCCCTCCGTTAGATTTCTGTTACAGCACTCACTACTATCAGATATTTTCTTCTCTGGTGTGTTTGCTTATTGTCATCATGCCTTTGGGTGTAAAATCCCCAGGAATGGGAATATTTTTTGTCTCATTTGGTGCTACATTGCTGACATTACAATATAGCCTGGTTCCTGATTTTAGCTTCTATGGTTATCTAAAATGATGAATTTTTATCAGCAGGAATAAGAACTCTCCATTATGAGTAATAGTTCAGATCATCAAGTTAATTTTATTTTAAATATTTTGGCAAGCATTAGAAAGCAAGGCCTTGTATCTATAGTTATGAAAGAAAACCTCACATTTTAAAAAGTCTTTGGTAGCAATGAAGACTGTCATTTACTCTAAGATGGGAATTTTTCTCCCCATACATTTCTCCACATAATTATCCATTGAGTTTATTTGTATTTATGGTTTTCTGGAATGTGCATTTCTATGCCTGTTTTCTCATGTTAATTTCCCATTTTCCAAATGTGGTTTTGCATTTGTTCCTGTCCTTTAATATATTTTTTTCTAAATTTTTGTGTATATTTTTGTATTTTTAACTTTGTGTATCTCTTCCACCCTCTGTTTTTTGCATTTTCTATGCCTCCTACTTCTCTTTCTCTGGATTATACATAAATTAGAATGAAATATGATTATGCACTGTATTCAAAATTTTTTTAAGGTGAAAAGAATATTTTATTTTAATACTTCAATATTGAAATCAACTATCATACATAGCCATCAACTCTTATATTTCATTGTCCGTATCTCAGTAGATAGTCAAAAAGAGATTAAATTGCAGCCTCAGCAAACTCTAGAACACTCTGTACTGCATCTTCAAATATGTCAGATTTTTAAATAAATTACTTCTTATTTGTTGTTTTGTAGTATTTATGAAGTGAATGAGTGCAATACATCATTGAATTATCATTTTAAAGGCAAATGCCCTATAGATTTATATTTGTCATCCCAATTTTTTGGCACTCTTTAAGCCTCTGTACTGGCATTTTCTTCATCCTTTGATTTCTTCACTGTAAACTTAGCCTTTGGTAATTGTTCAGCAAAATGCATAGCCTTTAGTTTGTAAGGAGTGTAATGGGTCCTGTTTTTATTCTGGGAACTCCACTGGCTAATGCCATGAAAATATTTTTAAAGAATTGAATGTTTAATAATTTAACTTTTTTCAATAGTTAGAAAATCGTTCTCTTTAGAACAAACTCATACCTACTAGAATTTAAATTATCTTGCCTTCTACATGGTTATTTTCTTTCTGTTTAATAATATTTAATTGAAAAAAATATATTTCCTCATCATTGCTTTGGCAGAACATAGTAGACAATTGTTCCCCAAAATGAAAAACAATAAATACCAAGACCACACTAGGGCCTAGGTAGGAGGACATCTCCCCTAAAGGAATTAGTCCTATGACTTTTTTTTTACTAAGAAGATTATGCAAAGAAGTCTTTATGAGCATCATTTACTCTCTCTTTGCTTATCTCTTTGTCAGCAGAAATGTGTTGACTCAAACATATTTGCCACCTTACTTGATCACATTTTTCCTTTCCTGATATAGCAATGATTTCTTATCAATTATACTATTTATCTCTTTCTGAATTGCATTGTAAAATATAAAATAACCTTCATTGGCTTTCTACTCATTCACAGACCTGATTAAAGGTGTGTTGATATTCCAGTTATCTCTGTCACTGATGGAATGTTGATTTTAGTATCCAGAAGTGACACAGGGTCTGTTTAACTGATAAGTATTTTAGAATTTGTACCTAATAGATCTCTAGTCTAATTCTTTGGTGATATCTTGTTGGCATTCTAATAATTCCCATTGTAAGTTTTCTAAGCTCTGTTAGCCTTCAAATTCCCAGAGTAAATTCTTTGTGGCATCACAAATTGTGTATTTCAAAATGTAAGAGGCCTCTCTGTGAGAAGGGATATTTAAGAACAAAGGCAGGAATAATCAGTAATTGTCCCTTCCATTAGGACATGATGTCTGCCATGTGAGAGTAATGTTGAATTGCTAGAGAGGTAAACATTTTTGTCATTCTTCATATTTATAAGGAATAGAAAGAAGGAATAAGTAGAAACATATTATAACTCTTCAGGTGGAACATCTGCTTTCAGAATGCAATGATCAGAATTATTGTAGAAATAGACTAATAAATGAGGTGTGAACTCAATAGTACAGCAGCACCATTTATCTTCTCAATAACATAGCTCTAGTTCATCCTGATACTGAGAATTACTTTATTGGAGATACATAAAGCTTTTATTAAAATACCAATTGTCTTAGGGATATTAATGCTTGGTCTTAAACTGACATATCATATATTAACTGAAAGAAGTAAGGGACATTAGATGGTAATGAACCATTTGTTAAAGAGTCAACAGAAGGGCAGAAGTGCAATTTGACTATATATGGGAACCTCTAGATTAATTAATCTGTTTGAGTTTAGACATAAAAAAGTAGATATTTTGATGTTTTTGTCTTCCTTCTTTCCCGTGTATTCTCTTTCAAAAGAGGAAGTTCAAAGAATAGGGCATAATAATATATGTATAGAAATTCTGTTATTATTGTTTTCAATAAGTTATCATGTATGGTGAGTGAGCACATTGTCAAATTTAAGGCATCTATATAGATATGCCTCAAATATTAATTTCTACAGAATGATCAAGATTCTTTTTACTAAGCCAGGTTAATGGGTTGCTATTCTATAGAGAAGAAATATATTTCAAGTAAACACGGTTTTGTTTAAACCTTTTTAGGTCAACATTCCTAAAATATAATTTACATATAGTAAAGGTATCAATTTCTGTACCGCTTAATGCCTCAATACATTTTGACAAATAAATAGACACTTGTAACCCTTACTGTCAAGCTATGGAACATTTCTGTCACCTTAAAAAGCTCAGTCATTTCTGCTTGCTATCAATCCCTACCTCACGAATCATATCAAATCTGAAGAACTTGGTAATATGGTTGAGTTTTTCCTCAATCAGAAACACTTCCATTTACCTCACACAAGTCATAAACAAACCCAGGGCAGGGGCATTTCAGAGTTCCACATGAGAAAACAGTTAAATAGAAGCACAGAAGTAAAGCAGAGAGAGTGTGTCTTCAAAAAAAGGGTATTGGCAGTTATGAAATGTACTTGAATAAAGAGAAGAAAAAATTCCTTAGGTGTGGGAGAGTGATGATAAAATACATATGTGGCATACACTGCTTTTCATTCAAGAAGAACAAGACCCAGAGGAAAATGATGGAAATAAACTCCCTACTCCTTGATGTTCTAGAGGCAGAAAAGATGGAGATACAAAATAGCACAGTGGTGAGAGAATTCATCCTCCTCGGGCTGACCCAGTCTCGAGATATTCAGCTCCTGGTCTTTGTGCTGATCTTAATTTTCTACCTCATCATCCTCCCTGGAAATTTCCTCATCATCCTCACCATCAGATCAGACCCTGGCCTCACGGCCCCCCTCTACTTCTTTCTGGGCAACCTGGCCTTCCTGGATGCATCCTACTCCTTCATTGTGGCGCCCAGGATGCTGGCGGACTTCCTCTCTGAGGACAAGGTAACCTCCTACAGAGGCTGCATCACTCAGCTCTTTCTCTTGCACTTCCTTGGAGGAGAGGAGGGTTTACTCCTTGTTGTGATGGCCTTTGACCGCTATGTCGCCATCTGTAGGCCTTTACACTATCCCACTGTCATGAACACCAGAGCCTGCTATGCCTTGCTGTTGGCTCTGTGGCTTGGCGGCTTTGTGCACTCCATTATCCAGGTGGCCCTCATCCTCCGCTTGCCCTTTTGTGGCCCAAACCAACTGGATAACTTCTTCTGTGATGTGCCTCAGGTCATCAAGCTGGCCTGCACGGACACCTTTGTGGTGGAGCTCCTGATGGTCTTCAACAGCGGCCTGATGACCCTCTTGTGCTTTATGGGGCTTCTGGCTTCCTATGTGGTCATCCTTTGTCATGTTCGTGGGTCTGCTTCTGAAGGGAAGAACAAGGCCCTGTCCACATGTACCACTCACATGATTATTATACTTCTCATGTTTGGACCTGCCATCTTCATCTACACTCGCCCCTTCAGGGCCTTACCAGCTGACAAGGTAGTTTCCTTTTTCCACACAGTGATCTTTTCATTGATGAACCCACTGATTTATCCCCTTCACAACCAGGAAGTGAAAGCTTCCATGAGGAGGTTATTGAGTTGGAATGCAGTCTGCTGAGTGGATTTTGTGTTAAGTCAAGAAGGGAGAATTCTGGCTGCAAACAATTCATTCATTTAACAAACACTGTTTTGTGCCTCCCATTTGTCAGATGCCATGTAGGCTATGATGGAGAATTATGTCCAGCATGTGTATAAACTTGGCGTGTTTAAGGAATGTAAAAGAAACCGCAGAATGGTTGGAATATAATGAGTAAGTATGAGAGATTCAGGGGTTAAATTTGATGTGACTGTAAGGGTCAGATCACCAAGGTCTTTTAGGCTGAGATGAGTTTTATTCTATTCTAATTGCAGTAAGAATTCACCTCAGTATTTTGAGCAAAAGAGTCACTCGTCCTCTCTCTGGTTTAGAGGAACATATCATAAATATTCTGGGCAGACAGAGATCAATAAGCTGCAAAACATCATTTTTTGTTTTTGCTGCTGACCTGTTTTGAAAATGTCTCTTTCTCTCTGTGTGTGTATATATTTATGTGTGTATGTGTACATATATATATATATATTTTTAATGTGAAATTTGCTTTATGATCAAATTCTTCCCAAATGTCAGAAGAAACTCACATTTCTAAAAGCAAACCACAAGGGTCCCAGCAGGATTGCATGCAACCCTGCATTAAAGCAGCCATGGAAAACATGGATGGGCATGGCTGTGTCCCTATAAAACTTCATTTATATTTATATATATATTTATTTTTTTCCTCCAAAATTGTAGACAGATAAGAAAGGAAGATAACTGGTTTTATAGAAAAATGTTATGAAATTATTTCACTTGATTTTTTTTTTCAGAGCTTCATGATTATTACTAATGGGTTTTTTACAAATCCTCCCTGGATGTTTAAACTTGCTCTCAATTGATTTCACTGACAGAGATAATGGTAGTTATTTGGAAGTATAGATTCTGTTGGAAATTACATAAATCACTCTATTTTAAATATAAGAGGGTTTAATGTGGGAAATTAGGTACTTATAAAATCTTTTAAGGAGCAGAAGACCATTCTCTCTACTGGGCACTGAGACATGATTGCCAGAAGAACATTATAAAACTAATCTGCCAAGTGATCTATTTCCGTAGTAATCAGGAGACTGGAAAACAAGAAACCATACCGCCAGCAACTGACTGGAAGACCACATCAGTTAGCCATGGTCTGGGGTAAGGGGGAATGCCTGTCATGTTACTGCCTGTCTCTTCAAATACATTTTCTTCCAAACTCAAGTTTTATAGGAGTACATATGAAAGTCAGATTACAGAACCCTAGATACAAAGGTCCTGAAAGAACCCACCTATATGTTCACAGCTTCTTGGAAAACAAAACAAGCAATGCCAAAAATAGTGTAGAATGTGGGATAGAAGTAAGACATAAAAATAGAAAGTGAAAAGAAAATAATTATTTTTGATATGTTAAAAATATATTTGCAGGCAAAGGGTAAAAGAGTGATGAAAATCTGCCTACCACATATGGATGTGTAGATTATTTTCTTCACAATTATACAGTTTTGCATGGAAATTGAACTGAATGTCTTCTCTACCCCAGATGGTATAAGAGAGCATCTATGCATAAAAATTAAAATAAAAAAGTATTAACTAAGCAAATTAGTACAAATGATAGAAGGTTAATTCATTTAATACATAAAGAATTTTAATAAGGGAATATGAAATAGATACATACCAAAAAGGAAATATGGACAATTAAAACTAATAATTAACAAAAGAAAAAATGGAAAGATTTATAAACATCAAAATAATTTTATCCTCAAAAATCAGACATGAGAATAAAGAGCACTGATTCTGGCTAGCTTGTAGAAGAATGTTGCTCATGAATTGCCAACAATAGGAAAAGTACAAAATAAAAAATTAAACTGTTGTAACAGGCTATCAAAAAGAGTATGAAACAAGGAAGACTTATTGTCTTGAAACTCCAGAGAGGGATAAGGCCTGAATAGATGAACAGAGAGCTATGGCAGTTTCCATATTTGGGCAAGTACGTAATCTGGATATGTGCAGAGGAAGGAGTGATTCTGCCACAGATTAAGATACTGTGTAGAGATGAGGAATAACAAACTGAGCTTTTAATGATACATGGGATGTGGACAGATTAGAATCTGAAAAAGCTCCAAATATAAAAATAAACAGCTCACTTTTATACATTTCTTTCCCTGCCCCACCACTGACATTTATACTAGTAATTTGCTCAGAAAAGGGGCAGTGGAGGAAGAAATAAAAACCAAAGGGAATTTGCATATTCTCAGCCATTACTGTAGTGCTTGGATATTTATGTTTACAGAGTTGAATCCTAAGGGAAACACGATCATCTCAACTGTGGCTCAAACCCCTCCCAGCTCCTAACGTTGACAAGATCAAAGACCTTGTTCCTTGGTGGCAATTGGCAGACACTGGAGGTGAAATGAATCTGAGCTAAATTCAATATAATTAAAAGTGATTCCAAGTCTCAGCTCAACTAGAGTTTTGAAGGAATCTGAATGATTAGATCCTCATTCTAACTTCTGGACAGAAGGAGAGGATTTACCTCTCTGAAAGCTAAGCAAAATAAAATTAAATGTTAGTCTTCCTCTTCCACTGCATTTTTAATAGAAACTGTTTGGAAAATAATAAAAAAATTAGAAGCTATGTCAAGAAAATAAAAAAGGGACAGTATCTCATAATTAACAGAAAAATATTGATAGACAAAGACTGTTGAACCATATGATAAAATTATCAGATAAGGACCGTAGAAAAGCATTATAAATAAATAAATGATAAATGGATAGGGAGATGAGGACTTCAGGAGAGAAGTGCAGACTCTAAATATAAATGGTTATGTTAGAATTGAAAACAATAACTGAAATCATAAGAGATTCCTTAGTTGAGCTGAACAGCATTTTGGACACTGCAGATAAAATGACTAATGATTGTGAAGATAGGTTATTAGAAATCATGCAAACTGAGGGACAAAAAGGAAAGATTAAAAAACATGAATAGTGTTAATATGCTTTGGGGAAGTATCAATAGTTACATCTACATGTAAGTGGGATTCCACAAGAAGAGGAGAAAGTGGGACAAAGAAAATGAAGAAGTGAGTGCCAAGAATTTCTTCAATTTCATAAAAACATCAACTCAGATATCCAATCAACTCAGCAAAATCCAAGTATATAATCAAATAAGACCCTGGTGTGACAGATAGTAACCAAATATGAAATGAAGATCTTAAAAGCAGCCAGAGGAAAAAAGACACTTGAGAGGAATGACAATAAAAATGATGGTCAACTTTTTAAGAAACAATGGAAATGATGACAATGAAATGGCATTTTTAAAATTCTTAAAGAAAGAAAAAACTGTCAAGCTAGAATTCTACATCCAGTGAAAATGAACTTCAAAAAGAAAGGTACAAAAGGCATTTTAATATTCATGAAAGCAGAGCAGACTTACCCAATAATATGTATATTATTATATGTATCTTGGAGTGTGTGTCTACTGCTATTTTGTACCTTCAGTTTCGCTTTGTTATGTGCCACAAATAAGTGAAATGGTGGCACTCATTTCACCAAAAAAGTTGTGCTGAAAGAAATTCTTCATGCTGATGGAAAAATACATCAGATGGAAACTTGAATTTATGAGGAAGAATGAAAAGATCTGTAAATGGTAAATAAGTGTATAAATATGGAAAAAACCCTATTTTTATCTTTAAAAGATACTTGACTGCTTAGATAAAAAATAATAAAGTACTATGGGACTTCTATAGAAGTAAAATATGTGATAACAATAGTACAAAGGACTTAAAAGAGGATAAAAGATTTATGTTCATAAAATATATACATTGTCCTTGAAGTATCCTTGAATAAAAAGTTAAAGTTACTATGGTAAGTTAAAGATGAGTGTTGTAAGTACTAGAGCATCTACAAAAAGGTTTAGTTAGACAGCTTTTACAAGAGATAAAATGGAATATTAAAAAATACTTAACCCAAAAGCGGGATAGAAAGAAAGTTCAAAGGAACAAAGAAAAGATGGGACAGAAAGAAAACAAATACAAATAGTGGACATGAACTCAAACAGCAACAATTATATTAAATGCAAGTTGACCAACCATGCCTTAAAAGACAGAAATTTTCAGACTATATAAAAAGACAAGAGCCAAGTATGTACTGTTTACAAGATACTAAGTTTTAAATATAAAGACACAGATACATTGTAAGTATGGAAGAGGGGAATGATATATTGTGTGTGATAGTTAATTTTATGTGTCAACTGAACTGGACACAAGGTCCCCAGATTAAACATTATTTCTGGTGTATCTGTGAGAATGTTAGTAGGAGATTAACATCTGAATTGGTGGACTCAAGTAAGATTGCCTTTGCTAATGTGAACTGGCATCATCCAATCCATTGAGGGCCTAAAAAGAGCAAGAGACAGATAAAAAGAGGAAATTTTCTCTTCTTTCTTGTGTCACTGATAGAGCTGGGACATTTCATCTCATCTTCTTTGGCCCTTGGACTGGAATTTATGCCATTAGCAACCCTGGTTCTCAGGCCTTTGAACTCAGACTGAATTAGACCATTGGTTTTCCTGGGTCTTCATTCTGCAGATGGCAGATAGCTTGCAGGACTTCTCAGTTTCCATAATCGTGTGAGCCAATTCATCTGAGTAAATCTATCTCTTTCCTTCTATCTATCTATGTATCATCTACATCTATCTATCTATCTATCTATCTATCTATCTATCTATCTATCTATCTATCTATCTATCTATCATCTGTCATCTATCATCATCTATCTATCTATATCTATCTATCTATATCTATCTATCTATCTTTCTATCTATATCTATCTTTCTATCATCTATCTATCTATCTATCTATCTATCTATCTATCTATCTATCATCTATCTATGATCTATCAATCGTCTATCATCTATCTATCTATCATCTATCATCTCCTATCTATTCTTCTATACCTATTCTCTGGAGAACCCTGACCAATGCACCATGCAAACATTAATCATTTCATGGT